AATCAAAGTAATAGAGATGATTTAAAGTGATGAGAGAGTTGTGCAGAGATTCTATGCAAATACACTCTATTTTTAATTAGGGCCTTGAGCATCCGCAAGGTAATAATTTGTATATGCATTCTGGAGCTGGGGGGGGGTTCAGAAACATGCTGGGGCTGAGCTAGCATTCCATTGCTCTGTGTTACATCAGCAGTATCCATTTTTCTTCAGACTCAACTTTACCATTTATGTTTGTTTCTGGATTTGTAAGTAGACTCCAGTCCCAGTAGGCACCTGAAAGTGAGGTACAATGTGTGAGCCATGAGGAAGTATGCCTCCTGGCTTACAGTTCATTGGTACATTCCATGTGTGCACAACAGGATCTTGAAACAGCTGGCCACATCGAATCAACAGTTGGAAAGCAGAAAAGGATAAATTTGCTTTCTCTGTTTTATACAGTCCAGGATCCCCTGCCCATGGGTCCCACCCACAATTAAGATGGGTCTTCCCACATCAATTAGCATTAACAAGATAATCCCCTATAGGCATGCCCAGTCCCATCTCCCAAGTGATTCTAGATCTATCTAGTTGGCAGCACTAACCATCACACAGAGACGACCTAGTGGGGAGGTGGCAAGAAGGCACTCAAGGAGGGCTTCCACAGAAACCAATTCTGCCAACACCCTGATCTTGGCCTTCAGCCTCCAGAACTGTGGAACAGTGTGTGTTGTGTAAGCTACCAGCCTGTGGCATTTGGGTATGTCAGACCTAGCTAACATGTACATAGTGCTTAGTAGTTGCTGAAAGTTGCATCTGTAAAATACTTTGTTCCTTGCTCTCGATGTACAGTTGTTCACAGTGTAATACAAGGGGCATGCATGAGTAAAGCAGTTAGTGTGTCCCAGAGTGACCATAGAAGCTTGGGGCCACTGGGGAAAGGCTTCCGGGAGGAGACTCATAATGGTATGGACGGGAAGGGTATTCCAGGCAGGGAGCCAGGATACATGGGCTCAGGCCAGGAACCGCACCTGCAGGAACTACTTAATGGTTTGCTAGTGCCAAGGGCCATCTATCAGAAAGGGGCCTGGAAGCAGAGATTATAAGAGGTAGTTCCTGCTAACCCTGGAGTATGAGCCACAGCCACATACAGAGTCCCACAAAAAAAATATAAAAGAAAGCTCTGGCTCCAGGGACCCCACAAGATAAAGATACATGCTGTTAGAAGAATTAATGACAGTGGTTTGCATAAGTGAATTGCTCTTAAAAGATGCCCAGCAAATGACAGTCTTCTGTGGCTCCCGATGAGCAGGCTTGGGATGTAAGACCTAGGAAGAAGCCTGGTCTTGGCTGAAGGGAGAGCCAACTCTGGCCCCACTCCTTCCACGAGCAGAATCCTGACATGTCCTTCCCCTGGGTATTTATTCAGACTGTTGCTTCTCAAGGGCCTGTTTGTGCCTCTTCTCTCTCCACGATGTCCTTTTTTAAGAAACCATCAAGAACTTGTGGCCAGCTGACAGTTAGTTCTTGTGCTCCTCCTGGCAACATAATGCCCTGGCTGCCGTTGATTGTTTTGTCCGGAAGACAGGCTCAGCTCCAGAGGCAGACCCAACATCTCTGAGCCACAGAAGGTCACTGCAGTCTCAGAAACAGTCAGGACAGCCCAGCATGCCTTCTTCACTGCTGTGCTTTGGCGGTCCCAGGCACTCTTGTCTGGCCATCCATCCCTTTCACAAATACCAATTGCCAGACCCTGGGCCAGCACGGGAAATAGATAGTGGTTTCCCAACTAAATCAACAAAAGATGCCACTAGACTAAGGAAAGTGCCAGGGGAGGTGTGTGGTTCTGGGACTAGAAAACCAGACAGTGGCTGACCTCTTGGGAACATCAACCCCACCCACTTCTCTCACCTACTCAGGGCCTATGAGCAGGAGCTCCTCAGCTTTACACTGGACATTCTGGCCTCCTGTCCTGCACCATACAGTGGCTGTTTCCAGGCTTGGTACGTCCACATGTGGCCCTGCTTCAACAGCACCTTGGTGAAGGCAGCCCTGCCTCCTTCCTGCTTCCTTCCCAAAGAGTAAAAGACTTGTCCTTCTTAAAAAGAGGGCATCCCCAGCTACACTGAGTTGAAGGCCAGCCTGTGCTTTTGTTTTATGTTGTTCTGTTTTGACCTTGGGATTTGGAGGCTCTGCCTCCCGGGTGCTGGACTGTCCAACCGGAGTTGTGAGATTGGTGGTGATAGTTGTTTTCCTTCTGAGAGTCTTTCTATCATGTCCATTTTATTTTGTATCTTTAGTTATTTGTATTTGGGGTTTTGTTGTTGTTGTTTTCCCCCTTTGGGGGAACCTTGCTTTTTTGTTTGTTTTTCAAGACAGGGTTTCTCTGTAGTTTGGAGCCTGTTTCAGAGCTCAATCTGTAGACCAGGCTGGCCTCTGCCTCCCGAGTGCTAGGATTAAAGGTGTGCACCACCACTACCTGGCCTTTTTTTTTTTAATTGATAATTTTCAATTTGCCTGTTAGGGACCTGTTAAGTTTTCATTTCTATCAATGGCATATTGATAATAAAATATCCATAGAAACTTTAAAAAGTTCCATCCAAGTGCCCTTTGATTCCCTTATCCAGCCTATTTTTCCATCATACTTTTTGCTTATGTGATTCCAAAAGGACTTAACAAAATCTATATCAACACTAAGTATATTTAGATTTCTGCATGTTGTATTTTGCACTTGCAGGTAAATCAATTTTCAACATGTCATGAAGATTCTTTAAAATGAACTATTATGTCACTTTGTTTTGTTTTTCGAGACAAGCTTTGTATAACCCTGGATGTCCTGGAATTTACTCTGTAGTTCAGGCTGGCCTTTAATTCAGAAATCCATCTGCCTCTGCTTCTAGAGTGCTAGGAATAAAGGCGTGCGCAACCACTGCCAAGCTTTTTATGTCACTTTTTAAGTGATTTCAAAACCCATTTTTAAGATGGATACACTTTTGATGTTCAGAAATGTTTTTTCTTCTATACTCTATATACTCATTTCACTTTACCCAGAATTTTATCCTAATTTAATATTTATGCTTAATTATATAGAATAAAATTTCACAATGAGAATCTGTCACACAAAGATGTCTGCAAAGAGTTAATTGTGAAAAATATTGAATATACTTGTCTATAAGTTGTTCAGGTCAAAGAGGACATTAACAGCAAATTTGAAATAAGTTGTTGCAAAGAAAATACAAACAAAACAACGCTGAGGAAGTTTGGAACTCTGAAATACTCCATTAGAAGAAAGATGTAAAGTTAATGGTCCCCACAAGAAACCAGACAAATGTGAGCAAATGAAACAAAAAGACGTACTACTGATGAAAGGAGAAATCAGTGAAAAAAATGGTGCAAACAGTAGAGAAAGTTAAATCAAAATCTAATTCTTCGAAAAGATTCAAGAGGTTGATAAGCTTATAGCAAAGTGCTCAAGAAAATCCTCAAATACGTGATAACAAAGATGGGGCATCACTACAAACCCTACAGTCACAAAAAAGAAAAGTGAGGCTGTAGTTTTAGCAATTTTATGTCCTCCAGAAATGACAATTTAGATAGAATGAATGATTTCTGTGAAATACCTAATTATTAAGATGGACAGATGAATATAAGGCCCAAATTACTCTGTATATATTAAAGAAATTGCATTTGAGATTAATCTTGCCACAAAGAAAATTCCGGTTCTCTACCTTCAGTCTACTTTCCCTCTAAAGTATCTGGGGTGCAAATATGTCATTGTCATTCCATTACCCAAATCCAATGGCTTACTCCACAGTGGAATATTAAGGCCATTTATGATCCCACTGGTGCCTGCAATGTCCTATGTTATTGCTAGCCATCCCCTTCCCCCACCCTGTGCCACACTGATGAGCCCAGTAGTTCCCAGGTGGCAGTACTCTGTATTCCACTAGGGGGCACTTGAGGATGTGTGGGAATATGAGTTGTCACTTGAAATCAAAGAATGTCACTGGCATTTATTAGTCAGGGCCCAGGTGTCAAGCACCCAGCAATGCCAGGAACAGGCCCCACCATGAAGAATCACCCTGTTGAGAATGACCAATAGAGCCATCGAGATTTTGCCCAACTTTTTCAACTCTAGAAATTAGACATGCCGGGGGCTGGAGAGATGGCTCAGAGGTTAAGAGCACTGACTGCTCTTCCAGAGGTCTTGAGTTCAATTCCCAGCAACCACATAGTGCCTCACAACCATCTACAATTCAATCTGGTGTATATGTAATAAATAAATAAATCTTAAAAAAAAAAAGAAATTAGACATGCCATTAGCTTTGAGTAGAGCCTTGCCTGGCTGATTCTGACTCCACTTTGGAGCTTCACTTGGGAACCTTCCTGAATGAATGTCCAAATAGTGTTATTACACTGCATTTGTCTTCCCTTCCTCATGTCTTAAAAGATAGAAGTCAAGTTCAGTTATAGAAGCAGATTTTTTTTTATTTGAATGTATTCTGAGACAGCAGAGGGGAGGAGATGCTAATATCTACTCAGTTGCTATGGTGAACCTCCTAACCCCACCCCCAACACCCCATCTTGTCTTCCTGACTGTTATGGTGGTGTCTCCTGAGCTGCAGTGCACACCTAGACCCATGGATGCTGTGGTTCCTAAGTGCCCTCTCCCTTCCCCACTCAACTCTGCCCTGCATTCCAATGTTGGCCGGGCTCTTGGTCCCTCCCAGTGCAGATCCACACTTGAGAAAGGGCCATCCATCTGGGTTTGCCAGAACTCAGGACGACAGTGAGCTTCTCTGGAGTCTGGGGATCGCTTTAAAATTTTCGTATTGGTAATTATGGGTTGTGGTATTATTGAAATCTGAAAAACTCAAGGAAGAAGTCTCCCTGGGCTGTTGTCATTGATTCTTTACTGCCTTGAGTGTATGGCTGAGTCTAAAGACTTGTCAGTCAAGAGGGAGGATTAGCCTCGCCCATATGAAGGGAAAATGAGGAAGGGAAAGAAAAAAAAAAACCTTGTCTGAACTTGAAAATGAAAATGCTGATGTGGTTTTTATTCCAGAAACAAATCTTACTGATTAAGAGCAAGGAACGCTACTGGCTCGTGGGTGGGCCAGCTGTAGCTGGTTCCTTTATCCACCAGGCCAGGCTCACTGCCACAGAATGTCAGAGGCCCATGTGGTCTGTGCAGGTGGGCATGGTTGTGTGCACACAGGGAGCATCATGGCGGTCCACTTGTTCATTTTCAGTCATGAACACAGGCAGACTTCATCAAGGGAAGCAACAGACCCTGATCACGTGGGGGCTGGACTTGCCTACTTATCAACTGCATGCCCATGGCCAGTGATGGATTCTTTTCATGTTGTCATCTACGAAGCAGAGGCAAATGCACCTATTACTGAAGTGCTGCCTGCATAGCTCATGACATGTGCTAACACAAACTGGATGTTCCTTGGATGGTCATTCCATTAGCCAAGATGGCAGTTCCCGGTGGTACTTCTCCCACCCAGTGCTTGCAGCCGCTGCTTGAAACAGCCTTTCTCCCTCTGGGTCCTCATCTATGGTTGGAGCTGCTGGAGTGGCCTGAGCTCTGGTGAGCCTTAGTTTCCATAGCTGTAGAATGGGCCTGACACCTCTGCACATCGACCACACAGGGCTTGTGGCTTGGCATGACTGCAGAGGCCGCTGCCAGGCAGGCAATCTTCGCCAAGAGCTAGATTCCTCCAGGCCCGGCCCAGCTGGCATTCTCTCCAGTTTCATTGCGCTGGGTTGCAGGGCGATGCAGCCATTGATAATGGTGTAATTGGGGTGACTTGGGTATTTTCCTAGGTACTGCTCCTGGTGACTCATGCTTGGTAAGTCCACATTCCACTGCCATCAAGCGCAGAAGACGGTTAAATAACCTAGTCAGGTATTCAGGTTTCACAACTCTGGTGTCTGAATGTGAGGTCCTTGAGTTACCCAGAGTCTCCACACCTCAGTTGTTTACGTGGAGCTTTTGTTCCCAGAGCCCTACATAGATGGGCTTTTCTGTGAGGCATTTAGCTGGCACTGGGAGGATTTCCAGCTGTGGTCTCTTCTCAGCCATTAATAACCTGCAAATGATAAACCTGTTCAGTGGCCAGGTTGGACCTCCAGCGCCGGCCTTTCTCTGCCTGCCCTCTCTGTTTTGCCAGTTGCTTCCCTGTCTCTGCTCTTCTGAACTTTCTGTTCCCTACTCCTACCCCCACCCCCATCCCCCCTGGCACCCCTGTGCCCCTCTCCAGAGGCCTCTGTCTTATCCTCTTTTCTCCCTGGCTTGTGCTTCAGGCACACCCACCTCCTGCTCTCCACAGGCCAGACCAGCTCAGCATTGGAATGAGGTAGGGACAAGGGTGGGTCCTAGAGGAGTCTGCCCCAACCCACTGCCTAAGACAGGGTGCACTGAGTCCTTCATTTGTCTTTCAAGGTCAGAGCTCCTGGGAGCTTATGGCCGCATGGATCAGGAACTGCCCCCTTTGCTCTGACTGAGGTAGACAGGCATACAGAATCTGTAGGGAAGACAGAAGGCAGGGAGAGAGCAGCAACAGCTGTGCTTGCCCACAGGAGGACCCTCGCACTACGCCTCTGCCTCCTTGTCATTGGCAAGGTGTTCCTGGGCCTGAATCCCAGCCTGGCCAGAGGTGGGCATTGCTGGCCCAGTGGGAGCCAGGCCTGACTTGACAAACAAGGTCCCAGTCCCAGCTTTCCCGGAGAAACAAGTGTGGGAACCCGGGCTGCAGTGGGGTCTAAAGGAGGCAGGTGCTAGCGGAGTGGAGGAGCCAGGCTGTGTGCTGAACCCTGCAGCAGAGGGTGGAATGGATTCACTCCTGCCTGGTGGCTTGGGTAAGTACTTCCCCTCCAGGGGCAATGCTGCTCCAGTGCTGCCTGGCCTGCACCCACCCTGAACTAAGAAGACAGAAACTAGAGGCCTTCTGAGCAAGCTCCAGATCAGGCAGGTTGGATGCCTGTGGGCTCCCAGCTGGAGCAGCAGTGTGACCAGAGGTGATTCAGCACTGCCCTCTGGGGGATGGTCAGGAGGGAAGAGGAGGCAGCTGCCCACCGCCTGCTTCCCACACAGCCTGCTGCTTTCTGGCGCTGCCACCTTGGAGGTTTTCTCTCCCTAGGAGATACGTAGCCCCTGGCTACCTCAGCTCCTGGCACCACCGCCACCACAGCTGAGTATAGGAGACAAAGCTCCCCTGCTTGCTCCAGCTCTGCATGCACTTTTAACCTCAGCAACCCAGGGCTAAGAGGTGCGGCCACTGTTGCCATACAATAAGGGCAGGGACCCTTGCCACCTCTGCCAGAGATGCAGTGTGAACATGCCATTGCTGGTAACCACCTGCCTTCTGCAGCTTCCCCTCTGCCCCCGAAGCCAGGTGTCCCTGCTATCACGCTTGACTTTCCATCAGCCCCCGCACACCCTTCGCACCCACACCCCATCTCCATGTGGAATTCTCATTTGGCAAAAATTCCAGCCCTACTTTAGTGCAAACTCGTGTCCATTCCTTGGCGCAGCGTGGTGATACAGGTCTGACTGTGTCTTCAAGCATCCCAGGGCCTCTTCTCCCTGCCATGGCCATGCGGCCCGTTCCCTTCACTACTTATTAGCTGTCACTCAGGGCCTTCCTGCTCGTGGAAACCCCTGCTCCCAGAAGCTATCCTCCCCCAAACACCCAGGATCCCTCTCAGGCCATCTCAGTTTCTGGCAGTATGGAGACCCCTGGCCAATAGCCACCACCCAGTCCCTGTGATTCCTTCCTTCCCAAAAGCTCCTTTCTGGGCCATACCTCCTGCAGCCACTGTCTTGGTCCCTGGCTCTCTTGAAAGACAGCCCCTCAAGTAGTATCAGCCGGAATCTCCTGGTTGTTCCAGTTGCAGGAGTCCTCCAGCCTACTCCCACTTTTACGGCTGCTGGCTCCCAGTGGCTGCTCCTGCTGGGTTCCTCCGCCAGCTGGCCTTCCCCCACTCTTAACAGATCTGCAGTTCTCCAGGGCTAGCAGGACTTTCCTTGTCTGCATGGGCTCTTCAGAAACCTATCCGGTGTTGAGGCCTTAAACTCTAATGTTGCTGACTGACTACTGGCTGCCTTGGGGCTCAGAATCCTACATCTACCTCCCTCCTGGTGTGCTGTTTCCCATGTAAAGGTGTCACACAGTTCCTGGCCCAGACTCATCCTTGCCCAGCCCTCTCAATCTCAGAGAGTAGCTGGCCACCCCACTCTGCCAGATGCTGACCCGGAATCTTTATAGCTGTTCCTCCCTTTCCTCTCCTCCCTCCTCCTTTCTCTCCCGCCTTGCCCACATTGACTCTGTCAGCAATTCTTGGGGCTCCACCTTTCTAGATCTGTTGCTGCCTCTCCTCACCTCCCTGACTGACTGGGCTACCTGACTGCCTTTGCCCTAGGTGACAGTGCCAGAGTTGAACCTCTCCTGGCTCCCTGCCTCCAGTGTGGCCAGGATATCGCTACCTTTTTAAGCCTACATCACCTTCTGCCAAATGCCTCATAATGTCATCCTGCTTGGAGCAATCAGGGGACCTGATGGCCCTGGGCATCTCTGGCTTCCTCATTGTAGCGATCCAGCACAGCTGCCTGGATACCCCACCCCCACCCAGGTTCCACTAGGCCTCGGAACCCCCGTGTCCCCCACCCAGGTTCCACTAGGCCTCGGAACCCCCGTGTCTCCTTTGCCAGAACACTCATTTCTTTTCTTTCTTTCTTTAATTCCAATCCCAGTTCCCCTTTCCCTATCCCACCTCATATCTGTTACTCAAAGAGGGTAAAGCCTCCCCTAGAATGTCAACCAAATCTGTCCCATCACCTTGTTGAGGCAGGACCAGGATGTGTCGTGCCCCCTCCCCCATGTCTAGGCTGAGCAAGGTATCTCCATAGAGTATGGGCTCTACAAAGTCAGTTTATGCATTGTAGTTAGATCTTGGTCCCACTACCAGTGGCTTCATATACTGTCCAAGCCATACCATTGTCACCTGTATTCAGGGGTCCTAGTTCAGTCCTATGCTGGTTCTCTAGTTGGTAGTGCAGAGTCAGTGATCTCTTACTAACTCTGGTCAGCTGATTCTCTGGGTTTCCCCATCACGGTTTTATTCATGTTCTCACTCTTCCCTCACTTCATTGTACTCCAGGAGGTTTGCCCAATGGTTAGTTATAGATCTCCATATCTGCTTCCATCTGTTTCTGGTAGAAGAATCTAGCTTCTCTGGGATTGTGGATTGTTGGTTTGTTATATTTTGCGTTATATCTGGGGAACACTCATTTCTTATACTCTCTGGTTCACTCCCTCACTAGCTTCTGATTTTACCCAAGTATCATCTCAGGAATATTGCAGCTGTAACTCCCTCCCTGCAGTGGCCCCTTCCTGTGCCTCTCCTGATCTGTACTGTCACCAGCATTCCAGCATCTAGGTCATGTACCTTCTGGCTCATGAGGACAAATGCTGCTGCATCAGAGCCTAAGACAGAGACATATATGGGTGCATAGCATAGCCCTGGTGCTGGTGAGTGCCCAAAGACCTCTACTGTGAGGACTGCACACCACTGGCTCCTTACCCCTCCCAGAAGCCCTACCAGGGAGGTCTGCAGGCAGGCTGAGTCCCAGAGCATCTTTAGCCATCGAAGAGTTTTAACTCACAGTGTTTAATCCAGGGCCAAAGAGGGTGGTCCTGATCCGACCCTATGCCCTGGGCTGTCAGAGGGTCAGCATCAAAGCCGGATTAGTACCCCTGCTTAACCCCAGCTGCCACATTCTTGTGACAGTCGTACAAGTGGAAAGATTGGCAGTCCCGACCTTGGACTCAGAGACACTTGTGGCTATTTCTCACCTTGCACATCACATGCCCACACACTCCCACACATATTGGTGCTGTCCCAGGCAGGGAGCCAGGCTCCTCCATCACTCTAAGGACTGACCACAGCTGACACCCGTCCAAACCCCTGCAGGGCCTTCCTCGTGCCACCTGCTCCTAATTTCATTCGCGTCAGGGTTCCAATATAGAATGTGTGATCATAGTGAGGGAGAGCTCCACCCATCTAGACATTGTGCAGCCTCAGAAACTGCCTCTCCTAAAGTAGGAATGGCAACTGTTTCCCTACTGATCATTATGTAGCCAAGATAGGGTAGGTGGTGATGGTGATGGGGTTGTTGTGAGAGTAATTCCAGGTCCCACTTGACAAAGCTCACATGATAGTCGATCAAGCCCTCAATCTGTTGCCAAAGCGCACCCACCCACGTGAGTCCATCCCCAGCGTTCTTCCTGACCTGTCCTACCATTGTGTTTGTGCTTCCTTGGTCTTTTTCTCCAGCCTAGGAACACTTCTCTGTGCAGAGATGTCAGCAATAGCCAGGAATTCTAGACTCTCCTTCTTGCAATCACACACCTCTGAGCATGAGGTGTCTTTTCTCAACGTTCATATTGGAGACTATGTATGGCTGGCCGGTATGGCTCTATCCAGAGAATGGCCCCAACCAACTCAAGTACTCAGTAATCTGTGTCACATCACATCTCTGTGGGGACTGCTGACTAGTTGTCCCAATCACCACCACAAACAATCCCTCAGCCTCCTAAGCTTGGTTGGAGAGGTGCAGTCAGAAAAGGGCTCTTTGTGGGGCCATATCCTGAAAGCAGAAGGTAGGCAACCCGTGACATAAGAAGAGGGGTGTGGTGATGTATTATTGATAGGTAGACTTACAGGAGAAAAGTGACAGAAGACACTATGGTGAAGAACCCACAAAGAAACAATGAAGGAGAAGGAGCCCTACGACTTAAATACTGGAAGAGGGCTGGGGAGACAGCTTGGTCTATAAAGTGCTTGCTATAAAGTATGATGACCCAAGCTGGACCACTGGTACATACATGAAAAGCTGGACTTGACTCTGTACACTTGTAACCCAAGCTTTGGAAAAGCAGAGACGGGGGCTCCATGGCCAACCAGTCTAGCTTATTTGATGAGTCTTAAGCCAATGAGAGAACCTATCTCAAAAACAGAAATGGGAAGGGGAATTTTAAAAAGAAATAAAAAAGAAGAAAGAAAAGAAAACATTGCTTAGCATGGTAGCCCACATCTTTAATCCCAGCATTCAGAGGCAGATGGATCTCTGTGGGTTCAAAGTCAGCCTGGTCTACATAGTGAGTTCCAAGCCAGCCAGGCTTAGAGGAGGAGTTGAGACTGTCTCACAAACAAAACAGTAGACAGTGTCTGAGGAGAAACACCTCTGACCTCTACATATATACAGACACACATACAAAAAAGTTCTGAAAAAAATAATGACCCAAAGTTTTTGAAAAACAAAGCCTACAGGTCTGGGAACTCAGAAAACTCCAAACACAAGTATGAAGAAAACACAAAGGAAACATCACAATCAAATATCTGTAATGATAAAGAGAAAACCTTCAAAGTAAACAGTTTATAAAATGTAAAGTACATGCTACACACAGCAGAAGAGACCATGCTACCTGATTTCTTATTGGGAACAATAAGAAATAATCTAATAATCGAATTCTAGCACTGTAGAGTCAGAGGCAGGCAGATCTCTGTGAGTTCAAGGCTAGCCTAGTCTACATTAGCAAATTCCAGGCCAACCCGGGCTACATGGAGACCCTGTCTAGAGAAAAGGAGGAGGAGTTGTCATTCAGGAAGCCATAAAATCTTAAATATCTGCAGTAACAGTTTCAGTTTCACAAAGTAAAAACTCAGAACTGAAGGGAGAAATATAATCATGAGAGAAACGTCAATGTCCTTTTCTCAATAACTGACAAACAAGTAGACAATCAGCCAGGATATAGGAGATTTGGGGAGCATTAGCAGTCAATTTGGCTTCATTATGATTTATTGAGTACCCCACTCAGAAATAATAGAACAGACATTTTGTGACTAAACACTGAATATTTACCAAGATAGACTGAGGTGTTTAAAAAGTGTTTTCTGGCCATAGGGAAACCCAAATCTCAGGGTAATCCTCAAATGTCTGAAAACTGTACATAGTTTTCTTGGGTCAAGTAAGAAACCAAAAGCGCCGGGTGGTGGTGGTGCACGTCTTTAATCCCAGCACTCAGGAGGCAGAGGCAGGTGGATCTCTGTGAGTTCGAGACCAGCCTGGTCTACAGAGTGAGTTCCAGGACAACCTCCAAAGCAATACAGAGAAATCCTATCTCAAAAAGAAAGAAAGAAAGAAAGAAAGAAAGAAAGAAAGAAAGAAAGAAAGAAAGAAAGAAAGAAACCAAAAGCAAAGCCAGAATTTTAAACTAGTTGAAAATGAAAGAAAATATACTATGCCAGAATTTGTGAGGTAGTGAGAGGCAAGGCTTGACTCAGCTTTGGGTTCAGACAGTGCTAACATTAGAAAAGAAAGAATCTGGTGTGGTGGTTTATAACTGTATTCCAGAGCCTTAGCAGGAGAATTGTTATTAGTGAAAGGGGCCAGACTGGGTTATATCGTGAGTTCTAGGTCAGCCTGGAATACAGCATGAGGCCATGTCTCAAAGAACCAAGAGAAAGGAAGAGAAAAAAAAGATCAAATCACTGATATCCGTTTTAGCTTTAGAAACTAAAACAGTGAAAGCTGTAAGCCCACAGAGCTGAGAACTGAAATCCAAAGTAATCAGAAACAAATTAAATAATAAATATTGAAGTGAAAAATCACTGAAATATAAAAGAAAAATGATAGAGGAAGAAATGAAACCAGTGGCTGGGTCTTTAAGAAGAAAATAGAACTCTGGCTAGACTAGTTTATCAGAAAAGAAAGGGAAGAGGCTAAGCTTAATGCCAGAGGTGAGAAAGGAGACATCCCTACAGATTGTACAGATATCAGAAAGATAAGGGAATCGTGTACCTATAAGGTTGACTTTAATGAAATGAACCTCTAAGCTCACTTGAGAAGAAATAAACTATCTCTATATCTATGAGAGAAATCAAAAATACATAAAACTTCAGGCTTTTCATTAGTGAATTATATGAAACACTTAAAAGAATTCTAGGTCAGGCAGTGGTGGCACACACCTTTAATCCCAGCACTTGGAAGGCAGAGGCAGGTGGATCTCTGTGAGTTCGAGACTAGCCTGGTCAGCAAAAGCTAGTTCCAGGACAGGCTCCAAAACCACCAAGAAACTCTGTCTCAACCCCCCCCCAAAATTCTACATAAGTCCTCAAAATATGAAAGAAAAATGTATTTCTTAGCTTATTCCATGACACAAAACCATGACAAGAAAAGTAAAGAACGAATTCACTAAGGAACATAAATGAAAAAGTCCTAAAGGAACTTCAGCAAGTTGAACCCAACAGTGTGTAAATGCGATAATGACCAAGTGGAATTTATTTCCAGAATGCAAGGTTGGTTCTCCACTAGAAAATTAATCATGTAATCTTCTATATTTATAAACCTAAGACATACGATCATCTCAAGAGTCACTGAAAAATCATTTGACAAAATCCAACATCCATTTTTTATAAATACTGCCATGAACATATAGCTAGCTATAAGGACGCTTCCTCAGCCTGAGAAGAAGTCTATACTCTGTGGCTAACATCACAATTAAAGGAGAAGATCAGGAACTGGGCAAGGGCATCCACACTGCAATCCACCATCATATTGGAGCCTCTATCCAGGCAAGTCAGACAAGATGGGAAAGTAGAAGGAATCCAGACCAAAAAGAAGTGAAATGTATGTTACTTACTTACAGATGACATAATCATTCTGCAATAAAGCTACAAAAGATCATCTAAACTAACCACAGAATTGAACAAGGTCAAAAGACTGTGGTATTGAAGATAAGTAGATTGCTGAAAAAGACAGGCCCCAAACAGTCACACATCTTTTTTACAAAGACAATTTAAACTACAGTGTGACAACTTAACAATTGTGCCTTCAAATATTTGCATGCAAAATGCTAAAGAGCAAACTTCAAATTATACCTAGCCCCATGGCCAAAAATTAACTCACAGTGGACTCTCAACCTCAATTAGAACCTAAAACTGTTGTGGTTTTTGATCTTGGTTTAAATGGTTTCTTAGGAGTTTGTGCTTTGTTGTTTTAAGGTGTGCGTGCATGCATGCATGCATGGGCACACGTGCGCACGTGCGTGCCTCTGTGTGTGTGTGTGTGTGTGTGTGTGTGTGTGTGTGTGTGTGTAAGTATGTGCAGTATATGCTCAAAGACACAAGAAGAGGGTGTTGGATCCCATTGGAGCTGGAGACATTGGAAACTGGGCGCTGATCCTCCGCCGAGCAGCAAGCACACTTAGTCAACTGAGCCATCTCTCCAACCTCTGGTTTCTTAGTTTTGACACCAAATTCGAAATTTAGGAAGGAGTAAACTAACAAATTTGACCTCATCAAAATGAAACATTTCCATGGCTTGAAAGCCATTGCTAAGAGAAGGAAAGGATATACCACCACCATGGAAGAAACTAATTTTGAAGCATACATCTAGTGATGTCAGATAAAGGACCTGTATCCAGAACATATAAAGAATCTTCAAAGTCCAATTTTTTAAAGTAAACTATTTGACTAATGTCACAGAAGAAAACACACAAAGAGCCAATGAGGGCATAGAAAGATACTCAATAGCACTAGTCATTGTGGTAATGAAATGGACCTGTCTGTCCATTTATTAACAGCTCCACGTCGAGCTGACAAATGGCAAGTGCTGTCAGGGCACGGAGGGACTCGAACTCACCACTGACAGTGAGTACAAATGTAAAGGAGTAAGGACACGTGGAAATCTGCTTGGAAGGTGTGTTAAAAGTTAAACATACACTGGCCATATGATGCAGGTATTCTAACCTTATATTTACTCAAGAGAAAGAGCACCAGGTGTCCCTACAGAGACTGGGACATGAATATTCATACCAGCTTTATGGGTAACCAAATACTGAAACAGCCTTAATGTCTAAGAACCTGAACATCTGTCTTCTATGTAAGGGGGAAAATAAACTGCAGCATAGCCTCAGGATTGTACACAGCCCTAAAGCTACACAATA